GTTTTGTGGGGTGGGAATATTATAAAGTTTTGTGCATGTGTTAATATGTTAGTTGTTTTTTAATGTGTTGTTTTTATATTAGATATAACAATAATACAGATTTGATTTAAGGATGTTAAAATTGACAAGAAAATTTAACTTTGAGATATACAAGGTTTTAATGTTTTTCTGACACTGCAGGTAATATAGTACCTAAGAATTGTATTTATTGTTTCCTTTTTTCATAATTTAGTATATCCCAGTTAGTATTATGTATTTTTCATTTTTTTTTTTAAATGTGATATTATTAGCTCAGAATTCCTTGTTTTATGTTATAGAATTACTGTACATTACAAAATGTTTCTAGGAATGTTTTGTTTGAAAAATAAAGATTATAAAAACTGTTATTTTTATGCTGTATGTGAGATATGAACTGTGAAGCATTTTTTAAAACATAAGTGAGGTTTATGGTTTAATAGTATCGTCTTTAACGTTTTTTTTTTAAACTGATCCTTATACATTTAGGTACCTGTTGAGGTAAATCATTAAAATAATATGGGATGTTTTTTTAGTAAATGTCACAGTGTCACTTGGTTAACCTATAGTATAAGAATCAGAATGGTTAAAAAATATTTTCTGTTGAGTTGCTTGCTAACTAAATTGGTATTATGTAATTATTAGAGTATAGGAAATCTCCAGTTAGTGAACACAGGTATGTCCATCATTGCAGTAATTGCTTGTTAAGCTTAAAGTGTAAAAGCATATAGTCATTTGGAGTTTTCACATATTCTGTATTTCAGCGTCTGCTTGGATCCCTACCTGTTCAGAGCTTGCTTGATGTTTGTGCTTCCATTGTACGTGCCACACAGGAAGAGCGACTTGATATATTGGATACAGTTGACATTGCTGAAAGGTTACGCAAGATACTTCCACTTTTGTTACGTCAGATTGAGGTAATGAAGAAACTTAAATTATTGGTTGGAGAGTTCACACTGTTGCAATATACAGTCATTTACATTAGTTACTTTTATCAGAAACATAATGTTTTTATTGTGTTTTGAATGTTATAGGAATTAAGAATTTCATATCTGTTTCTTCTAACAAAATTTCTCATTCTGTGGATTAGTGTTGTAGTGTTTATTTTACTGTATGCTATATACTTACAAAAACATTTGTGTAGTTTCTTCTATTACACAAAAACTTGGTATTACACTACTCAAATCAAGTAAGATATAATCAAAGCTTTCAGCATTCTAGCTATGACAAGGCACAACTACTGCTTTTAAATAATGTGAGTGACACAACCTAATTTAATTTAAATCAAGTACCACGTTACTGTTTGTGTGTACATGTATCAGGGGGATATAAAAGTGAAGGAAATGCTGTTTGTTTATATTTAGCAGTTTGATCAACAGCAAAGTGTGTAAAGAGATTCAGATTGATATTAAAACATTTCAGGACCCTAGTGCAGACATACAGTTCTATATTGTGGAGAGCAATATGTTGGCTAGAAGTAGGTCAAACACAACAGTCTATTGAAGTGTGGTAACACGTTTTGTAAAGTGTAGTTAACAGGATGTAGACTTGCTTTCAGACCATCAATACAGTTGGCCTGAGACCTCCACCATTGTTTCACGATATGGGCTCGATGGAACTGGTGGTTCTCAGCTTTCCAACTGAATCAACAGTCCAGAGTAACAATTGGAAGACAATTCAGATTGCAAGTGGTAAGAAACAATGTTTTTTCTGTATGGTGTACAACCAATGGACATGCATTATTTTAATACATTTTATACAAAATGGCCATCTTCATTGGTGTGATGAACATATGGGTTCATCAAATGATGTGAATAGATGTTTTGTTCATAGACAAACCTTGCTTCATACTGCATCCAAATGTAAGAGTGTCTATGATTAGACCAAACCCCAATTTCATGGGTAAAAGGTATGGATATAGTGGTGGTGGTGGCATACTGTCCAGAGCACAGGTCAGTATTGATGGTCATACTGACTAGTGTGTTATGGCACAATTAATACTGTATGACAATAGGTATACAGTCTTACAATTGTTAATGTTATCTGCAGTTGATCAGAACTTTCTTCTAATATATAGTAACTCCTGCTTCCATTATCCTCCTTTGGTCAACAACTCCCTGGAAGAATAGGGTATTGAGAAATGGACTGGCCAGTTTCTTCACTGTATGACAGCATGTGATTTACTTCCAAGTGGGAGAAATTGTGACTGGGGAGTAGACAATATTTCTCCACCAACTAATTGACTTACTCATTTTAAGCATGAAACATTGATGTTTAACTTGCATTAGCATGTAAAATTATAATATATTTTATTAACTCTTTCAGCATGGGCTTGGTCCCTGGGACTGACCTTGTAACCATTTTGTGCTTTTTATAGTTTTCATGCTATAACTTTTAAATTAGTAAGCAAATATTAATGAAATTTGGCACATTATCAGTAAACATTACAATGCTTTCATACATAAAATATCAATTTTTTTTTAAGTCTTAAGGTTTGTAAAGCAATGCTTCTCTCATGTCTTTTTTTTCTTTTCACATGTTGCCTATTTATCTTGCAAATTGATATTCATTTTAAGATTAAAAAATGTTTTTATGTATCAGAAAATTTTCAAATTTCAGATGTGAAATCTTTATAATGTCAAAATAGTTATCAAATGTTTCTTAAGAAAAAACTTTATATTTTATCTGTTATTTTCAGTAATTAATCTCTGTGTGGGTTTGGTAGATTTGACTGATCTTGTAACCACCAAAATAATTAGGAAATAGATATAAATTATGCCTCTTTCATTCTAGAATGAACATAATTTATAACATGAAAACATAAATGTCATAACATTATACATTTATATATATATATATATATTTATTATTTTTATTATATTGACTATTCACCCATGCCTGGCTAACAATACACTCATGTTACTATATCCAATAGCATAAAACTGACCTTTGGTCTGTACAAAGTAACTTGTCTTGGCTGTGTTTTAGTAGACTAGTATTTCGTAAAATACAGTCACATTTCAATTATTATACAATATATATATATATGTATATAGATTATTGCTATTTAAAAATAAGTTCTTAAACTTATTTTTTTCTTCTTAAAACATAGAACAGTAAATAATAAAGTAAAGCAAACAATTATCTCTTCTAGCTACGACCTTTGTACTTGGTTGCTGCTTTACATAGATTGCCCCTCGATGTGGATTCCTGTACGTGGTGAGGGGACCTCCCAGGGAAGGTTCTGTATTTTCAGTTACTTTCTCT